CCAGGAGGGCTAGTAAGCTCTCTCTAGTAAGGTCTGAGTGACTCATGATAAGGTGATACAATGGTTTTGGACAGTCAGCTGTGCTGAAGGCTACATTTTATTTAGGCAAGAATCCTGTTTTCTGGGGGCTCTGCACTGCTCCTGCCTTGCCACCTACCATTCCACCCTTTCCCACCTTTTTTGTAAACCTACTTAGATTCTTTATAAGATGTAGTTTTCCAACCAGAACATAAACTCCTCAACAGGACTGCCTCAAACTCTGTGCAACATGCTATAAAAGAAAATACTCTCATTCATACAAATAAATTTGCAGTGCCCTCCCACCCTTTTCTCCCACCTGCAAAGCTGAGACCTACTTCTCATTTCCCATAAGTCTTACAGTTCTGGGGTTTATACTGACTCATTGCAAAATCATCTGTACTAATAAGGAAAAAAGGCAAAGCTTTCTTTCTCAGTTTAATGCTGACTTCCTCTTGACTGGTTCAAACTCGGAAGCAAGCACTGTAAGTTTCTCACAGAGTATTAATATGACCCAGTTATGAAAGAACAACCAACAGGCGAAGGCAAAGTGAAGTCTTCCTGCACTCTCCAGTTTCATGAAGGATCACGCAGCATGTGACTGACTCCTACAGATGCTCAGCAGGTCTGTGGCAGGTCTTTAGCTAAGGTTAAATTTAAAAAAATATATGGAGAAATATTTGGAAAAAATTGTATATTTTACAATTTACTTTAGTCTGGATGACTTCTATGCCTTCTGTCCTTCACACTCCCACAAGTTCCCTAAACTTGCCCTGCAGGGGAATATTTCTAGGGGTGCAAAGTAAGAATGCAGTCCTAAGTGCCAGACTCCTGGTACACAGAGCCCCAGCTGACAGAGAGATTTATGAGTTTGTGGAATTGAAACTACTGCTTTGCCGCACTTCGAAAACAGCCTTCAGGAGATCCTTATCGAGAACAATAAAATCTCATAGTTACTACTGACCTGGATTTCTTTATGCCAACTGTACACAGACGAAAGAGGTTGTCTCGCAATACTTATCTATTGAAACCTTCCAGGCTGGATAGAAATATGATCGTTTTTAACCTCTGTATTGTTAGAACTTGTTCATCCCACCGCAATTAATGCAATGAGAACGCATTTTTACAGCAAGTTATTTGATCATCATTTCATTTTAAATGGAGGATATAAAATTGCTGCACTTCAGAAACTCCCTGTTGCTTTTTTTAAATTTTTTTATTGAAGATCTCATTGTTCTCTGTGAGATTAACGATGACTCCTCCACGTTTTTGCCAACGTTTCCTTCTTTGGTTGGAACAGTTTTTTGTTTTTGTGACTGGCAGGAATTCTACGAACCTACACTGACTTTGTGTCAAAGGGGTAATAACTGACTGAATTTGCCTGCAGTAATAAATCCCACATCTAATGCTGTTTTAGCTAGAAAAGTACTATCTTCCTAACTTATAAATTCACTTTTTCACAGAAACAGAATTGCCTTTTGTTTGACTATCAGGCGGAATGTTATGTTAGGACTATGTATTCTGACCTTGTTTGCCTTTTGTGCCATATACAGTTCACTTCCAAACAATTCAGAAATATGAATTTTGGACAAAATGACCTGTTTAATATAAACCTATATTAGGAAATTATAGAAAATATTTTTTCTAATTTTGAAACTTTCAACAGCTGTTTAAATTAATCCAACGCTCTGCCCTGCAAAGAAGCCCTTTTCTTCTACTTCTTTTTTTTTTTTTTTTTTCCCAAGAAGGAAAAAATCACAACAGAGATAAACAAAAAAATCAGCTCCCAGTACATGAAGAAACAGAAATTACAGGAGACATACTCAGTACAGAGGTTACATTTGAGAGCATGATGGTGTTATTGCCTGTAAGTGGTACAGTATGATTCATCTTTCACTTGTATAGAAATAGACAAAAGGTAATAGATGTGTAATCAAGGATATTTTAGAGCAAAGTTCAAGTGACACTAGCCCATATGTATGCATATATACCTATGAATACATATTATATATATGTATGTAATATCCTTTGTCATTTTGCAGAAAAATGTTTGTGGAGGCAATTTTCATCTCATCCCACCAAGCAGGAAATTTAATGATTCTGTTGGGCAGTAGTGGTTTCATTTAGAAATATGCTGTGGTTTAGTGTTGAGTTCATTTACTTTTTGTTTAAAATTGCTTTTCATTGTTATGCTATGTAGTTAAACATGTATTTGAATTACAGTACAGCATAGTTATGGTAGCTTCTATATTCAGGGAATACAAGAGAAAATAAAAAAGAAAATAAAACAAGCCCATATGCTAAGAATTAATGCTTTGAAACTTTACAACAACAGAGGAAGTGAAATGTGAATTCTTTCATGTGAAAACATTTGGAGAACGTATGAAATCTGGGAAATGGTTACGTTCTACACTGTTTACAGCACAAGCACATAATTGCATGAGGTTACACAATACACCGTGATGAATTACCTGGGATCCTTTCACAAAGTAAGACTTTTAGGCAGGAAACATCCTATAGAAAAACCTATCTAAACCCTGCAATTCCCACATTAAATCAATCTTCTCCTCTGGAAACTAGGACTTCGGGGAAAAGCAGTGTATGCTGTCATGCCTGGAAGATGATGGAGGGGTCCTGACTGAAGCCTTGGAAAACAAGCAGAAATATTTGGGTAATAATTTGAGGCAGATCAACAACAGGTATGGTGCACACATAAGGCTGAAAGGAAAGGACAGGACTATAAGAAAGGAAATTCAGTTCATATGTTAGGAAAAAATTCTTTACTCAGAGAGTAGGGAGGCCTTGGCACACGCTGTTCAGAGAAGCTGTGGATGCCCCATCTCTGAAGGTGTTTAAGACCAGATTGGATGGGACCTTGGGCAGCCTGATACGTTGGGTGGCAACCTGCCCATAGAATGGGACTGGAAATGATCTTTAAAGTCCCTTCCAACCTAAAACATTCTATGATTCTATACAAGTCCTTCCATGCAGGCCTGGAGGAGTGGGAAGAGGAGGCTAGGGAATAAAGGGATGGAGTTCATAAAAAGTGAAATATTGGAATATAAGCTAATGGAGAGGAGAACTGCTATTTAGAGAGGTCATGGATGATTCTGTGCACCAGCTAACATATTTCAAAAGGGTCACAGCAACTAGACCCTGCATGCAAACTAGGGGTTCCTAGAAGAAAGTGGGTGGTAAATGCAAAATTAAGACATTAATACCATTGCACAGCTGTCATATAATCCTGCAGACACTCATACGCTAGAGATGCTGAGCATCGCATCTCAGCACATTCCCATAATGGACCCTTTTCTGACAAGATCAAGCTGCTGGGTGCTGGGCTTGTTCCTCAACCACACAGTGTCCCGAGGGTACCAAGGCCATCAACACTCAGGGGAAATGAGCTGGCAGGCATTTGCAATGCACATTGTGTTTGGTCATGTTGGGAACAAAACACAGATCCTGGGGTGGTGGTGGCCACAACAAAGTCAGAAAAAAAAACCCTCCGTAAGTGTCAGAGTGCACTTGTAATGCAGATGCAGACCCTGGCAGCAAAGAGAGAGGTGCAAAGAGAGAAGTGATTATTTTCTGTGCAAGGCAGCTCATGTTCCTATTTATTTTTCAGAAAAAGCACCGAATAAACCTGATTGGCCCTTCACACGATGTTGATTGATAACTTCACCTACTAAGATTCCTTTCCTTTTTTTATCTCTCCTTTATTGATATTACTCCCCCTGGTAGCATACTGTAGATGAGAACATCCTGAGATTTATTACACCCACATATCTTTGTAATATGTCAATCCATTGCTACAGTAACAGAAAGTAATAACAAAGAAACAGTGTTATCACAACCAGTGCATACAGTCACTATGGTAGCTGCTTGACTTTCTTATTAAATATATGCTTAGCCACATATAAAATTCACTCTGCAACCTCCACATGTCTCAATCTTTCAACTCTACATTCACACTCAAAATAATGACATCTCTGAACTTCTGCCTCTCTGGCACTCAGACCAGGTTTTCTCCATGGCCCTGAGAGAAGAGCACCACCAGATACAGAGTGCCTTCAAGATGTAGCAGGAGGAGATTGGCACTTGGCCACCGCTGGCCAATGTTCCTGCTGATGACTCTCTTTGAGACAGTATTTTTCCACTGGAGAAATATTTCCCCATTTCCTTTCAATTCACAGATCAGAGTGTGTGGGATGGAAACCCATTCTCTTTGACAAGAACTTTAATAAGTTAGTCATTTATTTCCTTGTTGTACTTTCACCGGTCTTTCTGTCCTGAGATAAAAGTGAACAAAGAAGTTTTTTATGTCTTTTAAAAACTACCAGTTATTTCTTGCTCATGCTACTGTTCCACCAATAGTGATAAATGTGTGGGAAGAGAAAAGGGTGGAAAAGGCACTGAGATGGGCTTAAATGACAGCTCACCATTTTATTTGCGAAGGAAAGAAACACAAAAATCTTTGAAGCATTTCTCAGATTAAATTTACGTATCCTGAATTGGGTCAGGATGACCCACCAGGGCAATGCAGGTAGAAAAGGTCAGGCCCGTGAATGCCTGACAACATTCACACCTCCATAGTAAACTTTGGTCTGAAAAACTTTATCATTCCCCCAGAGATCCTTGGAATTTCACCACAACTGAATTTGTTTTAAGCAAAATAGGCAAGGAATCCATCACTATCCAACATGATGAGTGTAAATAGATAGTGTTTTAAGTACAAAAGAGGAAATTAGAACGTGCTTGCAGTACTGGTGAGAACAGCACACATGACTCATCATCACCTACCTCAGTGGTACTCCCAAGACACATTTTAGGTGTTCAGGCAAAGCACTCTGATACAACTCTGATGGTTCCTGCATCCATTCTTGTAAAACTATGCAACAGAACTTACTAACCCCCAAAGAAGTAGGCTACAGCTCCATCCTGGCACTGGACCTTATTCTCATTCATTTTTTCAATAGATCTCTGAAAAAATTTCTTTTTTATAGGAAAGGAAACATTTCAAGAAGGCTGAGAGGAACACAGATATAATTATTCGGTAAGGAATCAAAAACTGCAATAGTAATGCATAAAAAGCAACAAATCTTACAGTAGTATAATGCATTATTTTTATTAATGTATGATGCATAACTCTCCAAACGTCGCAAGAGTGAGTCAAATTAAACCAGCTGAGAATCTAGCTATAATCTTTATGGGGTTTTAAAATGTACGTGAAAGTCTAACTGAGACTAAGTCTAACAAGACAAAACTTCAGTGGAAGTATATGCCTGCAAGAAACACTGCACATTCTCTGCAGACAGCTTCCAAACCGCAATATCTTAGCAGCTTTCATTTTCCAAAACAAAAACCTATAAACTAATAATACAGCACTCCTTTGCCAAAATATTCTTAACCATTACGATTAGATAAGCACAAACACATCCAAATTGCATAAATTGGTGTTGTTTTTTTTCTCTATTTTTTTAGCGTATATGCATTAGAACAAACATTCATTTTTTCTTATCCTCAGGGTGAAAGAATTACTAATACTGCAGTGCACCACAAATGAGATTTATAGCCAAATTGTGATTATTTCATTGCAACTGAACTAGATTTATTTTGGCTATTAGATATTGGGTTGTGTGGGTTTTTTTTTTCCATCCCAAGAAAAACAATGGAGCCAGCCAGCTTCATCTGTAGCAAGTCAATATTTTATTACTTGTGTTTAAAGTGAATGAAAAAAAGATATTGGTTCAATTTGAAACATAATGTGAAGTGAGAGTATGTATGTTAATCATTTTAGTTTTTGCAAAGTATGATCTAAAAACGTGTCCAAAGCATTAGTTCTGCCTATTTGTCCTTTCAGTCGTAAAACAGAACAGAACTCATAAGATGCTATTGCTAGCGATCTGAGTCAAGAGAATATGCACTGTAATGTTTGTCAAGTAACACTGCCTAAGCTGACATATAGAATATAAAAAGGGTCAACTTGATTGTGACATTTATTCCCAGTTCAGTATTTGCTCCTTTGACATAAAGACACCAATGTGTCTGAGAATTTTTGAGTACCAACTTTGAATGGAGACAGGCACTCAGCTTGCCCTCATCTGGTGAACATTATATTAATCACCTCCTTGTGATCCTGATCAAAACTTCAAGTTAATTCTTTGTAATTGTTATTTATGGCTAACAAGTTTCCTTTTTTATAGGAAAATGTGAGTCAAATAGTCCCATTAGTTTACATATGACATCTTAACAAATCTCACTCATAAAAATAATAAAATATGTAATGCATCCACTTCTGAAATGACTGTTGTGTGATACAGCAGTGAGAAGACTCATCTCACTCTCCCATCTTCCATCACCAGGCTTGTTCTCCCACCAAAACATTTTTCACCTGAAAGTAACAGTTTCAGTGTGTCTCTGAGTCCCCAGCAAACTTTGAGACAATGATGTAAAAGAATAGTCTCTCATGCAGGGGAAACTTAAAGATTTCCCTGTGTGGGACTTGTCAAATAAAAAAAGAAAATTGAAAGCAGTCATATGAGAGAGTGCTCAAACTGAAACTGATATATTTTTCTCATTTCCACCTCTTACTGAGGTTTTGTTGAGGCAGTGCTTGGTGAATGGAAAGGATACTGAGAACATTTTCTGATAGCTGGGTCCGCTATATTTTGAATACGGTGGTGAAGCTGGCATATGCACTCACTAACAACTCAAACTTAGAGAAGGTATCTTCTCAGCTGTCTCTGGTCTGCTCATATTCATGATCTATCAAGACAGCATGATGACAGCATGTGAAACAAGGAGTCCTTCCCTGGCACAGGTTACTGCTTTGTACCATCACATCTGGCATTTTTGAAATATGTCTGCAGAGCCCAGGAGTTGGTGCTACATATGATTCACATGCTTCTCATTTTTCTCCTGACACTGGATGATTCTGATCAAAACTTAACAAACTGTTGTCATGTTTCTGTAACAAAACATCTTTTAGACATAATAAGTAAGCTGAGAGAGCTTCAGGTGTCCAGATTGCAAAACAAACTGCATCTTTAATTCCCTTAAGTTCTTCAAAAATCCTGGGCTTTGCTCATATGATAATGGTATCATCTCTGTCTGTCACAATGGTCACAACTATGCCTGTTAATCCTGCTAAATTATAAAATACTAGGGAGCTTGATCAAATTTGTGTCTGTTTACCAGAAGGTTTGTTCTAGTGTTGTATCTTTGACATTGAATCCAACTACTAGCAGGAGGCATTAGTTTCCCGTGCAAATGATCTGGTTTTGTAAGCCAAACTGTTGGTTTTTAAGAACAAGATGAACATGGTTTCAATAAATTTTGTGTTCTTTTAAATTGCCTGATCTCCGACTTGGTATTAAAAGTCCTAGAAACAGCTACTCATATAAAGCTTTTTCTTCAATTTTAAAGCATGTGAAAATTCCAAGTCTATTAATTCACTTGTTTCTTTAATTGTTCAGATTTCTTAGAAGTAAAAGAAAGTCTTGATAGTCTCACAAAAATAGTGAACATTGGGTACCTATGTTAATGTGCTCTAAATTTAACATGTTATGAATTTCTAGCACAGTCGAGTAATTGTAATTGTTATTATTTGCCAGCTGGACAAGCTGAGACCTGGCATTCCATTACCTTACAATGGAACCAGCAAAGCACATGCTTGCAGCACAGCCAAACATTGTGTTTCAGAGTGCTATAATTGACATTTTGGCAATCCAGTTCTCTTCGTCCAGGCAAATCAATAAGTTCCTTGGGAAATCACCTGGCAAAATGTCCAAAACTAGTTCCTTATTGCATTTGGAATGGAGTTATAAATGCTATGCATCAAAAATTGTAATAGGAACAGTTCTGGTGGGCTTTGGGTATGACTGACAACCTCCTTTCACACTGTCTACACACTGTCCGTGTGTCAAGATGTGAAAAAGTTACTCTTCTATGGATTTGGCAGAGTTTCATATCTTCAGTAGATTAGGCAGATTTTCTTATCCTGGAACTGCTGATGTAAGAGAAATGATGTGAACAGAAAGGATGGAGAATTTCTGACATAAAATGATCGGGAAGTTAAGAAAATATCTATTGTTTGTACATGCTTCCTTATGATGGCACACCAAAGACCAAAGGATAAACATTGGCTGAGGTAAGAATAGTGTTGCCTTTTCTATTTGGGAGGATCGTGATCTGCAGAACTGGAAAAATTCCAAATTTCTGAAGCACAAATTAATGATATACCACAGACAACTATGACTCCCCAGACACTCCTTCCATCTTCTCTTACTGGTAGTGGACGATACACTATATACGTGTAACAAAAACAGACATAATAATCTTGAAAGCAGTGCATACAAATATAAACAATATATTCCCCTATTGCTAAATTTATTCTCAAGCTCCATGTTAAAAAATAATGTTCAAAGATAATGAAACATTTGTTTCAGAAGAATTGAAATTACAGGTAATTCTGCTCAAGCATCAGGGTGTGCCACATTTCTATATAGATCAGAAGAAATTTAGAGAGAGATAACAGTCATTGCTTATTTCTTCACTTATGTATTTTTGGAGATTTGGGTTTGAGATTGAGATACAGAAAAGCTGGTAAATTCTATTCATCTTCATATCAAGTACAGTTTCAAATTTCTGACTCAAGAATGTCTATGTCTGACTTCTCTGATGTGTCAGGACTACATTTCTGCTGTACCATACAAAATTAATAGGATTTCAGAGAGCCCACACACTGTCATGGAGTGCAGCTGAGGTGAGGAGATAAACAGATATGCAGCAGACAAGGAGTTTGCTGCACAGATCAGTGTCGACAACACTGACTCCTAACTATTTTGATCCTTTGTTGTGAAAGAGGTAGACTTTAGGCAAGAATTTAAGGTACTGTTTTGCAAATGATTCGTGTGTGATTTACTCAGAATGACTAAGTCCCACTGTCCCACTTGGATCAATAGAATGAATCATATGCTTTAGAGTGTGTATTCTGAGGAATTTTATGATTATTTTGAAAACATTGCTGGTTTTACTTGTCGAAGGGCTAATAAAAAGTGTACTCCGGGTACGGATAATATGGGTGCTCTTGAGAGTTTTTGTTTGGAGATTTTTTCTCAACAACATTGATATTGAAGAAAATACATTGGTTACTCTGAAAGAAATGCAATGTGATTTCCATGGAAATTGTAACAGATACAAAGAGCACAGTAATGCTATTTGAGAGAGCAAATTATCAGCTACTAAACTCTATTTTTCAACATAATCACCACAATTAGCTTTGCACTTTTACCAGTAATGAATGAAACCTGCATGCCATGCTCATGCATGGCTGTCTGGAGTGTGGATTGACTTTCATGTTTCTTTCATGTCTTTATCTCCACTGCTGAAATGCACACCCACCGCCCCACTGTGCTCACATTCACTGTTTGGTCTCCATAAATATTCAGCAAGCAGTGATGAATGTCAATGGGTACCATTTTTTTCATGTGAAGGAATTAATTTCCACACCTTTGTTTCATACGCACTTCCATGTCAGATGTCATTGTGTCAGACTGCTATCTGCTGCTGTCTGTTGCACGGCAACAAAATGTAACAGAATATTGGCAGAAAGGTTTAGATCTCCTGCCATACCACTAACATCCACCTCTGATGTTGTGGGCAGCATAATAAAATAAGAAGTATTATTTTCAGAGCACTCAGATAATGCAATCACAGAATACCTGTGGGTATTTATTGATGCCCGGCTGAACATGAGCCAGCAGTGTGTCCAAGTGGCCAAGAAAGCCAAAGGCATCCTGGCTTGCATCAGAAGCAGTGTTGCCAGTAGGAACAGGGAAGTGATTGTCCCCCTGTGCTCAGCTCTGATGAGGTCACACCTCGAGTCCAGTTTTGCACCCTCACTGCAAGAAAGACAGTTAGGCCCTGGAATGTGTTCAAAGAAGGGCAACAAAGCTGGTGAGGGGTCTGGAGCACAGGCCGTATGCGGAGTGGCTGAAGGAGCTGGGATTGTTCAGTTTGGAGAAGAGGAAGCTCAAGGGAGACCTCATTGCTCACTATAACTACCTGAATGGAGGCTGTAGTGAGCTGGGGGTAGGCCTCTTCTCTTGTGTAACTGGTGATAGGATGAGAGGGAATGGCTTCAAGTTGTGCCAGGGGTGATTCAGGCTGGACGTTAGGAAATACTGCTTTTCTGAAAGAGTGGTCAGGCAATGGAACAGGCTGCCCAGGGGGTGGTGGAGTCACCAACCCTAGAGCTGTTCAAGGAACGTTTGGACGTTGTGTTGAAGGACATGGTTTCATGAGATCTATGGGTGATAAGCGGATGGTTGGTCTGGATGATCTCGTAGGTCTTTTCCAACCTTGGTGTGATTCTGTGAATGTTTTAGGTTGGATGAGATCTTCAAAGATCATCTATTCCAGCACTCCTTATGAACCATAAATATAACAATAAAACTTTGAGCAGGCTGAAATGAAACAAGATTTCTAACAAATGCTGTGTTTTGGAACAGGTTTTTATGCCATGTGAGAAGAACCATGTGCCAGTTTTACATATTCCTATGAATTTTCTAGGAGTAGGCACTGACTGAAAATTGGTAAAGAAGAATTTTTTCCTTACTTTCAGGGAGATTAAATAATGCCCAGTGGAAAATTCTAGGCACCATAGCATTTTCTGAAAAGATTCTCTAAAATTATTTTCCACTTGGTAGATGTATTATAAAGGCTCTTTGACCAGATAACTATTGCTGAAGAGAAGCAAATGGAGGACATACAGAGAAATGAACCCATTTAAAGAAGTGCATTGCAGATGGACATTCCTGTGCAGAGGGAGCATAAGCCATCGATACCAGATAGGCATAAGCCATCCACGCCACATAAGCCTGAGGTGATTAGAGCATGCCTCAAGCAAAATTCAAGAAGGGTGTCCCTGGTTCATGTTTGGAAAGTGTTTTTCTATATTATCTCTTCCCATGTGACCAACTCATCCCAACCAACCCACTCTCCATCCCCACAAATCGCTCTTCTTTAAACACCTCCAGCCGTATACCTGCTCAAACCTTACTGCTGTTTATACCCCTGTGGCATAGTCTTAAACATCTGTGTCCACCACAGTCTCCAAGAACTTCTGGTGATGCCTCAATTCAAGCTTGCACTGTGGGCAAGCAGTGGCAGAGGAACTTGCTAAGAGATTGGCTGGATGGGACAGACTAATCCTGGGGTACTCAAACACATGGCCCCTATGCAGCCATTTAAACTACTTCAGCTTTAGGCCAGCTTTGTGTCAGCCTTACACTTTTCTTATAGAACAGATGCTTGTTTTATGTTGTCTCTTCCATATTCTCTCAACATTGAGCATTTTGAAATTAACTCCATCTACAACAAATGAAATCTGACAGGATTCAGTGCATGGGAGGCAGATGTAAATGAACAGCAGTACTTTGACCAGCTGGATCTGGCCGAACATCAGCAGCAATGTTTCTGTCAAACTCTGCCATTAAAAGTCTTCACATCTTGTGATTTTGTGTGTGTGCTGCAGAAGCCTCTTCGAAAATAGCAGTGCTCCTAAACAGGAATGAGAGAGCTCTAATGGAGCAGCTGTGGCAACTCAGTGCAGCTTCATTTAGCCTTTCCCCCTCTTGCAGCAAATGCTAAATCTATCCTGCTGAGGAGTTCAAGCCATGAAGATATTCCACACAGAAGAGGATTATAAAACCCATGATGAGCCTGGAATGAAATTAAAAATAGCCTGTGCAATGAATGTGCTTTTCTTAGTCTGCTTTAAGAAGTTTCATAAAGCTTTTTGCTTCTTAAAGCAGCACTTGTAATCTCTTGTGGATAGATCCAAAGTTGTCCACTGTGTAACAAATATAGATAGTTGTTTAAAACAAAAGCTGTTGCCTTGCTGGGGTCTTTTTTTTTATGGTGCTGGGGTGAAGGAAGTGTGTGTGTGCATGTGAATATGTGCGTAGAAAGAGGGGACTCAGCCAGTCGATCAGGTTTCATTGGGTTTCTAACTGCCAGCTTTAGACTAGTGGTTTTGGAATATTACTTGGGATCATTTCAAGTATTTTGAGCTTTGAAAAGCAAGTTGTAGTTTCTAATTAAAAGGGAAGATAAAAAGGCCCCTCTGTCAGTTAATAAATAATGGACATTGACACTTCAGTTCAAAAAACAGGAAACTCTGGAGCTTTCCTTTCTCCCATATCAGCTAAAGGCTCCTGGCAAGATGCAGTGTCCCCAGCAGAGGACCACCTGCAGCTTGGGAACAGCCAAGTTCCTAGAGCTGAGATAGAGGAATTTTATATATGACCATGATGTCCACTTCCACTCCAGGCCATCTTGAGACCAGATGCATCTCGACTTTCAAGATACAGAAGTAGAGGGTGCCAGATTTATAGTATAAAATACCTTCTTTTAGCATTACTCAGTCTATGGGATCCCTGACTGCTTATTTTATTTACCATAATATTGGAAAAGGGTATGGATCCTGCCAAGTTTAATAGTTTCATTTAAAACACTGACAAATAAGCTTAGATGGTAAATTCACAAGGAGCTCTCTCATGCATACAGAGTACTATATGCTCTTCTGCCGAAGTGTATGTAATGTATATCTTCACGGACAGGGAGAAGATAAGCTTAACATTTCTTTCATTTCTTCCCTCATTCATGTCGCCTATTTCATCATGTTGTGAGTCATGCAATACGTGTTATTCATCCACTGATGCCAGCAAGAAGGATAAATTTTCAAATATATCTAAGCACAGACTTGCTTTGTGGCAATAGAGGTGATACAGGTATGGTTTTAATACAGTGTTATTCTCAAAACTGAGGCATCTATCTAGATCCAAAAACATTAGGCTGCTGAGGGCTGTTACGCCAAGTGAGACGAATTGTCTCAAAGATGTTTTTCTCTCTCTCTTAGTGACTGTGGAAGATGCCTAGAGTACCAGCTTGTACTCAGTGCCCATTACTTACATTCCTAAAGTTATAGATGGATCCAGACCAACTCACTATGTCACCCTGGAGAATTCCTACTCTTGCCTAGTAACATCAAAACTATTTTGCGTATTTATTTCAGAAAGTTTGGAAAGCAGTAAGGCCTTCATATCTTCTCCTGATACATGGAGTTCGAGATATGTCTTGCTTGACATTGTTGGAACTATAGATGAAATTCAGCCTCAGTTTAATCAAGGGAATATTTTTGCTAGTATTATATACTATCATAGAACTCACTGTTTGTTTAGAAATTTTGTATGTGGAGATCTGCCTTGGGAGCAGGTGAAAATTAAAAATAGCACTAAAATTAAGCATGAATAGTAAGAGCATCACATTCATTGTTTTTTCTTTAACAGAGGGAGGACAATTATACCTAGGCATAACTAATCTGAGCTTTGTACCTGAACATGAAAAAGGTAGGTTAGTAAAATTTTCTCTGGTCTTTTAATCACATCTCCTCTCTATTGTATTTCTTTGATAATGATCCAAAATAATTTCAAAAATCGCTTTATAGTAGTTTTGCATGGCATCAACTTTTTCTGTGACCAGCTCAAAAAACTACTGTAAGATGTATGTATGGAAGCAATAAAGATCTACTGTTTTTTATGGAAGTGCAACGCCATTCAAATAAAATCCCCCGTCTATGGAAACTTTCATTAAAAACATAACTCCAAAAGACTCGGTACTTATAATTCAACAAAAAGAACCCTTGTTTTCCAGTACAAGTGTGAGTTCTGTCATGTCAGGGTTATCACAGGAAAAAAGGAGCTATTCAAACACACATCAGAGAGAATGCTGAATCTGAAGATAATGAAGGACAGATGTTATCTCATGGAAGATGTTGAGCTGAAGATTTTTTGCAATGAAGGCTCATGAATAAGTGCTTTAAGCATCATATGCCATTGCAAAATTACTATATGTGTTTTCTCTACATTCAGTAATAAGCCTGTAATTTATCTGGAAAACAGAGTACAGGCTGTCCTTTGGCTGCTAATGAGTAATAAACTATCCCCTCTCTTTTTTCACTTTCTGAACATCTTTTAGCTCCCTGCACCCCATTCTCCATCAGTCCCAGGATGCATCTGAGGAGCTGGAATAGGGATCATAGAATCATGAAATGGCTTAGGATGGAAGGGAAGATGAGACCTTGTCTAGTTAGTAGGGAAAAGAGGGCCCACCCCATGCATGAAGAGTGGCTTGGCATGGAGCAAGCTCACCTACATGGAGAAACTTACTGTTATTGAAAGATTTTGGTCCTGGCTCTAAAGGGCCATTAATGTCACCGGAAGAGGTCCCAGTAATTCTCAGGAGAGCTGAAAAGTAATTTTAGAGGAGCCCCAAATACTCATACACACCAAGTGCCTGTTCATTGTGGTTAGATTGTTCTTTAATATCTTCTGCACATGAAAAGTTAAGCTCAATTTGTTAGAATTACGTCAGTGAATTTACAAAAACACGATTGCTGAACAAGTAGCTAAAAGAAATCCTAGAACTGTCTGTAAAGAATAAAATGCCATTTGAGAAATAAACTTATTATTAAGGTGATGAAGTAATAATAATTCAGCAAAAAGGCCAACAGCAGAAATGATAAAGTTCTATCATGGCTAAGGACTTGGCTATAAAGTATGAAGAAATAGAAAAAGCTTTCAACTTGGGAATATCTATTTTTGTTGAGCTGAAAAAGACCACTGCAGTGTAAAAAAAAGATATCCCAATGTAATTTAGATCAGAATGAAACATGTACTCCTGGAACTGTCACACTGAGGATCAAAGCTGGCTTGTATTCTCTTTAGATGACTAAATTGTTTATTTTTCTGGTGTTTTCAATTATGCTATTGAAGCAAAAAATTTAGCTGCATTGAGTAATACAATGTCCATGGTGCTTTATTTGAAGAATTAGTCTGACTCTCATAGACCACTATCTTTGGTGCTTTTCAGTGCCCAGACCTGCTAAGAACACAGCTGCTACATATCATATGTTGGTCCTTTTCCTTTTCCTTTTTTTTTTTTTTCTTTTTTAATTCTTTTTTCTTTTGTTTCTTTTTCTTTTTCTTTTTCTTTTTCTTTTTCTTTTTCTTTTTCTTTTTCTTTTTTATACTGGTGAGGAAATCTGTGAAAGAGTCTTTAAAACATTTAGCAGGGTTTTAGATAACTAAGTTACAGAGCATGGTTATCACATAAGCTTACACGATAAACACACTGGATTTGATAGGTAATACCTTGTACTAACTGTAATTGCTTGTTCTTGCAGATTGCAGAGTAATCCAGAAAGAATTCCATAATCATTCTCCATTAACAGAAAACAGAAGAGGTTGCAGAGTGTGCATTCCTTCTCTGATAACAGGCATAACAAAAAAAATTAAGTAGGTGTGCCATGGACCTGTGTATTTCCCATAATACAGGCGGGTTGTTTCAAAGTAAAGACATCAGACATTACTGCGGAGAGCAACCCTGGAGCAGTGCAGCAAGTCCAGACAATCACAGATAATAGCAAAACATATTTACTGCGTTTCAGGTGCACTGGCTGAAAGTTTAATGTTGACATTTTACAGTCTTGTTCAAGGCTATTATAGAATAAGGTTGAAATCTACTTTGTCCTGGAAAAGGTATTTCAATTTTAATAGAATTGGTTGGGTTTTTTCTAACATATTCTTTCATCTGTTAAGTTGTTTAATTTTTGTGTAATACTTTACCAAATACTAATTTTTTGCATAAATAATATCTGAGTTTTTCTGGTTATTTAAGAAAAATTATCAATTTTTCTTATGTTAGTAAAATATGATTTGCTTATGGGGAATGAGGGAATGACTCAGCTTCATTCACTTTTGATTCGCTTATCAACTTTGACATTTGCAAACTGAATTATAAGAAAGAGTCAGTACAACACACAATCTATTCCAAATTTACTAATTATGAAATGTCAGTTTAACGAATCTCTTGGCAATACTCTTTCTGTGATATATTTATATGTCTCAGAGCAAACATACAACAGGAACAAAGAGGCTGTGCAATATATGCAATAAGCTCTTCAGTTACGAAAAAATAAATTAATTGCATGTTTGCAATTTACTTTAACCTAAAATATTTTTGTGCTTTGAAGGATGACTAACAATTGTTTTCCAAGCAAAAACTTCTTCAAAAACTTCTGCATGGGAACTGCTGAATCATGGTGTGAACCTCTGATTGATCACCTGAGGCGAGCAATGAGTTAGCCATGGGACCACAGGTGAAGGCAATTCACCTGTGCTGCTGGAAGGGGTGGAGCCTGGCTGCACCTCTCCTAGACCCATTTGAGAGCTGTCTACCAGTGGGGAAGGAACTCTTCTGGAGATCTCTCCTTGGGAGTTTGCAGCGAGCCCAGGACAAGGGTAAGATTTTTATCTGTTCTCTTTTTGTTTTCACAATCTGCTTTGTCAAACTCTCTTGTTTATTTCATAGTTATTGCATCTTTATATTCATTGGCTATACAACTCATATTTACTGTTCACATGCAAAACAAAAGAGGGAATCCTGTAGTGGTTGTGCTTGTAGCAGTGCCATTATTATACCTCTGCCTGTCCAAGTTTTGCTTGTAATTGCCATAAGGAGTGCAAGGTGTGGTGCTTTAAGTTATAGGTTAGGCGAGTATTAAGAGAGCAGTTTAGCTGCATTAGTTCAGCAGATAGTCAACAGTACTATAGTGAGGAGATTCACTGGGGCAAAACACTTTGCCTTTCCAAACACAGCGAACAAGTAGTAGCAAATGTAGAAAGAACACAATGTTAATATGCAGTTTGGCTGGAATGAGATGACGCTTCTGCTTGGTAAATGGCCTAGGAGACCATACTACTTTATGCAAATGTGAAGGGATGGAAACAAGATACAAAAACATAGGTAACAGTCCCAAACAGATTTTTTTAGTACTTATCACGTACAAGAAATTCTAGAAGTTTAATTTCCCCTTCCTTCTTGAAATCAGTCATGCAACAGATAAAAACATTGCAAATGTATTGATACTGGTTAGCCATTGTATTGCCATCAATCACCTCATACTTCAAAACTTGGCCAAGAGTTTCTTCTTGCAAAGAGAGACTGGCAGAACTCTTACCTTCTGCATCAGGCTAAGCCTCTCAGATTCTTCTCCATATTTTCGTCTATCTGAATGCAGTCTCTTTATAAGGTTCCCCGATTTGAGTCTTCCCATGTTTTCAATTTAGCTTTTTTGTAATTGCCTGATGTGAAAGGGTTAGGTTCTGTTCCAGGTGCTGCCACAGAGGACTGAGCTGCACAGTACCTGGAGGTGCCCTGGGGCTGCCCCTCTTCAGGTGCTGTCCCTATTGACACAGATCAGTTAAAAACACCGTATGCCTGGAATTGTCTCAAACACTTACAAGAACATTTTCGTGACTACAAATTGAAGGCTGGAGACTTGGTGAAGGAGGACGCCCCGTGAATAACCAGACTGAATAATGGGATGGACTTGCTCTGTCCAAAGCATTCCCATTTTGTAAGTCCAGCAGACATAAGGAATGTCTGACAGAAGATGGGGCTTTGAGACCTTGACACCACAGAACTTCTGGATGAACTCTCGCAAAGACTGAGGACCTTCTTCATTGGCTGTACCAATGCTGGAGCCTGGGCCAATGATCTCTCTCTTTCTCTCTCTGTTGTCCCTCTCTGTTTCTTTTTTCTTTCCTTTTCTCACATAAAGTTGTTAAGTAACACGAGGCTTGTTTTGATTTCTTATTAAGTTGCGTTGTTCAACCTTGCAGTTTAGACAGATATCATCGTAGTATAGAGATTCTCAGTAAAACTGATGATTGATGCGACTAAGATGATCAGGGGGCTGGAGCACCTCCCCTATGAGGACAGGCTGAGGGAGTTGGGCTTGTTCAGCCTGGAGAAGAGAAGGCTGTGGGGTGACCTCATTGCAGCCTATCAATACCTGAAGGGAACCTACACCCAGGAGGGAGTAAACTCTTCAAAAGGGCTGACAATAGCAGGACTAGGGGAAATGGATCCAAGTTGAGGGAGGGAAGATTTAGGTTGGATGTTAGGGGGAAGTTCTTTACAAGGAGAGTGGTTAGGCCCTGGAACGGGCTGCCCAGGGAGGTTGTGGATGCCCCGTCCTTGGATGTGTTCAAGGCCAGGTTGGACGGGGTACTGGGCAACCTGATCTGAATGTGTGTGTTTGGTGGCCCTGCTAGGCAGGGGGGTTGGAACTACATGATCCTTGAGGTTCCTTCCAACCCGGGTGATTCTGTGATTGTATGTATGCCTTGAGTATCAATTCCCCCTTAATCTATGCAGGGGAGATCTGCAAATCTAGTCACTCCTCCTTCCCTTTGTGGGTATAATATGATGCTTGTAACCTTCCAGTGAACCACTAGAGCCACCGATTTGCCTCCTGGCTGGTCTGAAAATGTATGGGCCAAACAGTTGCACGAATAGGCAATCCTCAACAACAAAAGCCGCCTCTAGCTTTGTTATTATTAGAAGACCTGGCTTTAAAGCCCATATGCAGAGAAGGTGAAGGAAAGATCTGAATTTGAATGCTCCCATTCTACCTGGGTCCTCTCGGTACTGACTTTTCAGCGATGAAGGATAAGGGAAAGGCATGGCTTTTGCTTGAAAAGCATCTGTCTAGAAAAGAGTTATTAGGGAAGGCATACTAACGTATTTCTGTGAATGAAATTTGGCTACTTTCCGTAGCCGAATCCTTGGTCAGAAAAGTTTCCTTACGTCCAGCTGGTTACATTTTCCTCCTTACATCTGAATTGGCTACTAAAAAGTTGTGTCATGAGTGATTGCTTAGAGGACAAGCTTAACTGCTTGTGGAGAACAGTAACCGGGTGCTAAGGGACCTGATTTATGAGAAAGGTCATCTGTGCCCTTCGAAAGAAGCATGCAGACAATGACTTTAAGTATTTTCAAGGGGGCACTCTTCAGCTGAGGAGTGATACAGGATGTAAATTAGTAAGAAACATGGGGAAGTTTATGTATCTCCAATTCAAGAAATACAGAACATCAAGTAAAGTTAGTGGGTAGCAAGCTAGAACAAATAAATGGATATGTCTCTGCATTTCCTTAGCAAAGCTGTGGATTTCCTCTTTACAGGATGTTTAAATGGTATTAAAAGCAGCATTAAAAAACAACAACAACAAAATAACTTCTAACTGTGCGAATCTTTGGGTTTCACATTGTTAGAAATGTGAGAAAATTCTGGAGAAATATTTTCACATTTTCTCTACAGTTAGTCTCCTCTGGAGGCAATGAGCTTTTCAGCTTCTACCCACTTTCAGATACCAGCTAAAAGACAGATATCTGATAAGTCAACATGTATCTATTTCACTGTACTGCTGATGTAGTTCTACTTATGAGCTACTCATGCAGTCACTTACCTATAATTGGAGAAGAAAATGAAAAAAATAGAGACAACTTTTTGTTTGATAAGTGAAATTTTGAAGAAATATGCATTGTTTCAGTTGATCATAAAGGATTATATTCACATGAGATTAAGACACTGGACATGTTATAATCCTTAACTAGATATGCCTTAACGTACTGGCATCATGGAAAACAAGGAAAGGAGAACCACAAGTATTTTTAAGTTGGTACCTGAACAGTAGATATAAGGACAAATAACAGAATAAAAATCATGGATTCACAGAATCATAGAATGGTTTGGGTTGGAAGGAACCCTTAAAATAATCTAGGTAGAACTCCCCTGCTATAGGTAGAGACACCTCCCAGTAGAAAATTGCTCAAAGCCACATCCAGCCTGGCCTTTAATGTTTGCAGGGAGGGAGAAAACACAACCTTGTTGGGCAAACGGTTCTCAGTTCCCTGTGTCTCATCTCCCTCACAGTAAAGAATTCCTTCCTAATATCTCATCTAAACCTGCCTCTTTCAGTTTGAAACCATTTCTCCTTGTCCTGTCACGACAAGCCCTTTATAAAAAGTCTCTCCTCAGCTTTTCTGTAGGCCCCTTCAGGTACTGGAAGTCAGCTATAAGGTCCCCCTGGAGTCTTCTCTTCTCCAGGCTGAAGAGCCACAGCTCCCTCAGCCTGCCCTTGCAGGGGAGGTTCTTCAGCCCCCTGATGTCTTGATTTGCAGTCACTTGCTGTAAATTTGCTGTAAGTTTACCCTGAAACAAAAATCCATTTAAACTCTGGCAAGAACTCTTGTGGTTTTCAAGGAAGAGAAATATTTTCAGCAGGTTTATAGAAAGGCTGAATCTCCTCATTTGAATTCTGTGGCAGCCATATGTTATAATTATATGTACACTCTAACTTGAAAGAAAAAGCTATTCATAAAAGCCACATAATTCAGAAGTTTAGGAAATGGTAGAATTAAGGACT